CATTTTGTAAGGCTCTAGCTGCCTTAGGCAGTGATTCCTCTGATGGATCTGGGCAAAGTCAACTGAAAACCTTCTGGAAGAGATTCAGCATTCTAGATGCCATTAAGGGCACTTGTGATTTGGGGCGCCTGGGTGGCTCAGTCGGTTAAGCACTCTTGATCTCCGCTCAGGTCTCGATCTCAGGGTGGTGAGTTCAAGCTCTGCATTCGGCTCTATGCCTGTGGGGCCTACTAAAAAAAAAAGAACATTTGTAATTCATGGGAAGAGCTCAAAATATCCACATGAACAGGCGTTTGGAAGAAGTGGATTCCAACCCTCATGGATGACTTTGAGGGGTTCAGGACTTCAGGGGAGGAAGTCACTACAGATGTGGTGGGAACAGCAAGAGAACCTGGATGAGATGTGGAGCCTGAAGAAGGGACTGAATTGCTGCAGGCTCATGATCAAACTTGAACAGAGGAGGAGCTACTTCAGAAGGAGGAGCAGAGAGAGTGGTTTCCTGAGTTGGAATCTACTCCTGGTGAAGATGCTGTGCAGATTGTTGAAATGACAACAGAGGACTTAGAATATCACATAAACTTGATAAAGCAGTGGCAGGGTTTGAGAGCATTGACTCCAATTTTGAAAGCAGTTCTACTGTGCTGGGGGGCCTGGGTGGCTCAGTCGGTTAAAGGACTTCCTTCGGCTTGGGTCATGGTCCCAGGGTCCTGGGATCAAGCCCCGCATCGGATCCCTGCTCGGCGGGAAGCCTGCTTCTCCTTCTCCCGCTCCCCCTGCTTGTGTTTCCTCTCTCGCTGTGTCTCTCTCTGTCAAATAAAGAAAATCTTAAAAAAAAAAAAAGAAAGAAAGAAAGCAGTTCTACGTGGGTAAAACATTATCAAACAGCATCACTTGCCACAGAGAAGTTGTGACAGAAAGAGACAATCAATGCGGCAAACCTCACCATTGTCTTATTTTAAGAAGTTGCCCCAGCCCCCCCCATCTTCAGCCCACCACCCTGACCACTCAGCAGCCACCAACATGGAAGAGGCAACGTTACAGGATTTTCGTTCCCTTAATGCCCATGGTTCTTGGTCACACTGCTTCGAAGAATGAAGAGGTAGAGCAGACGAAAAGTGGTGGGCAGCCAAGCAGTTTATTGAGCGATAGCATGAAGCTCCCAGAGAGGGAGGGGACCTGAGAAGGTTGCTGTTTTGGAGTTCAAATCTAGGGGTCTGTACGCTCCTTCGAGAAGCTATCTTAAGTATCCTGAGAGTGGGGCCCTGTGGATTGGCCACTAAGGTGTGCCAATCAGGGTTTTGATCATGCACCTGTCTACCTATCGGGTTACTGTTCGCTTGTTGATGGTCTTTGCGGCTGATCTGAAGACTAACTGCATAAATGTGTGATAGTGACCAATGTTTCATGGTTAATTGTTTTGTTTCAGGATGTTTTGCAAAAGTCTCTTCTGCAGAGGCTGCTCAACAGGATGCTATCTTGGTCTTGTCTAAGCTGTCAAACAGGATGCTAGTGCGGTTTTGTCTCAACTGTCCTGGCTCCCTGTTTTCTTGTCGGGGACCCTGGCCCTGAGGACTAAGTGTCCAGTTAACTCTTAACAGCAAGACTCTTCAGCAGCAGAAAGATTACCACTCGCTGAAAGCTCAGATGATTAGCACTTATTAGCAATAAAGTATTTTTTTAAAAATTAAGATGTGTACATGGTGGGTTTTTTAGACATAATGCTATTGTACACTTTAATAGACCACCACATGATATGCATGAACAGAACTTTTAGATGCACTGTAAACCAAAAAATTCATTTGACTTGCTTTCCAGCAATATCTGCTTTCTTGGTGGTCTGGAACTAACCCTCCAGTGTCTCCAAGGTGTGCCTGCAATCCTAGAGCCTGTGTGAGGGTCAGATGTCCAGAAAGGAGGTCAAGAAACTGTGTAAGTCCCTGCAGCAGGTGATAAACGGCGCCAAGGTGGAAGTGAATAGATAGCAAGAAGTTTCAGAACATTTCCCCTCTTCTGGAAACCCAAAGGAAACTCCAAGATAGGAACTGCGGTTTTTGGTGAATGAATGAGGCCCACGGTGCGGGAGGGTGACTTCCCCCTAGTGGGAGCCGCAGGCACCGGTGACTTGTTCCAGGTGAGACCCGATTCCCGGTGTGGGGACGCGCGGGAGGTAGGATTGCAATCCGGTGCGGAGGGAAGGCGCGCGCTGCGCGCTCGGGCAGGGCACGCAGGCGCCCTGGAGGCCTGGCCTCTGCACCTGCTGCCCAGACAGGTGTGCAGCCTGCGTGCGCAGGGCCGGAGGGGGCGGGGGGGGGGGTTCCCGGCCGAGCCTCAAGCGGACGCCACTCCGACGCGAGAGCCGCCGACCTCGGGATTGGGGAACGAAAAGGGCCTCCCTTGGAAGGTCGCCGAGCTCCAGCCCGCCGGCAGAACAGGGGCGGAGCCGGCGGCCCACCTCCCAGCGCGCGTGCGCCGCGACCCGCGTCGGCGCCGGGCACGGTCGTCCAGCTCAGCTCGCCGCTCTGGCCCGACCTGTCGTCTCGTATGCTTTTCCGTCCGCCAACGCCTCTTCTGATTGGTACAGGCGTGCGGCGTGCGCGCTGACGTCACCAGGGCGCATCGTTGCTATAAAAGCGTGGCCGGGCGGCGCGTGCTTCTCTTTCTCAGCTCTCGGAGCCTACGGTAAGGTAGGGTGTGGTACGCTGCGCACTCGTCAGGGTGTGGGTCGCGAGGTCGTGCGGACCCCCGACCTTATTTATATGAGTACGCAGAAGTGGGAGGCGGTGGGACGGGACTGCACGCGGCAGTGCGGGCCATGCGGGGCGCGGAGGCGGCGCGGCCGCGGGACCGTGCAGGCGGCGTCCGCGGCCCTCACGCGCCCGGCTCGCCCTCCCGCGCAGGCGCACGCGCGCAGCCAACATGCCGGTGGCCCGGAGCTGGGTTTGTCGCAAGACGTACGTGACCCCTCGGAGGCCCTTCGAGAAGTCGCGCCTCGACCAGGAGCTGAAGCTGATCGGTGAGCGGCCGGGACCCGGTTTCCGCTTCCGGGGGCTGGAGGGCGGGGCCGCAGCCGGGCCGGCCCCGCTAGCAGCGCCCTCTTCCGGCAGGCGAGTACGGGCTCCGGAACAAACGGGAGGTCTGGAGGGTCAAGTTCACCCTGGCCAAGATCCGCAAGGCTGCGCGGGAGCTGCTGACGCTGGACGAGAAGGACCCGCGGCGCCTGTTCGAAGGTGCGTGGGTGACGCCGGCCGCCCGGGCCCGGAGCGAAGGCCTGGACTGCGGGGCGGGGGGGGGGGGGGGCTGGGATATTGGGGGCCGCGGACATAGGTGTCTTCTCCACGCCTGTGGTTGCGGTCCGGGATTTCTCCCGGAGCGAAGAGTGGGCGTGATGCCGTTGAGACTACCGGTATTTCTCCGACTGTGGGGTAGCAAGCCTGTTGATAAAGTGGCTGGAACTTCGTGAGGGTTCCCTGAGTGCCTTGTGTTCAAGCTCTCCTGTGGGCCCCTGGATCTTCCCGACAGCCGCCTAGGGGTGGCTTAGAGGTGAGCGTCCTAGGGACGGGGCGCCACGAACTCCGTGCTGGGGGTGCGCTGAGATGTTAGAGGAAGCTCAGGGAACGGGACCCAGCGTGACAGAACCGTGACAGGTAAGAGACTCCCGATTAGCCCTGGTGTGGAAGACGGAACTTGTGTGGGAGTTCACGTGGGAGTGAGCGATGCCGCAGCTGGTTTGGTGTCGATCCCTAAATTGGCTGCCTTGCACCTGAGCTTAGGGAATCTTGGTTTGTGGTGAAGAGCAGGAGGGGCTGGGATTCCTGCCTGGCTTTTCCCGAACTCTTCGAAGTTACCGGTTTGCTTTCTCTCCCAGGGCATGCCTAGGACGGAAACTTACTTCTACACGTGAGCGTGGGTGGTCATTCCTGTCAGAGGCTGAGGAAGGCATGGAGCTTGTTTAAGCAGTAACATGATCACACAGTCGAGAAAATTCAGGAATCCTCCCCCGTGGATGCTTGGGTGGGACTTCATCCCAAAATGTGGGGAGCCAGCCCCAGGTAGTTGAGGACAGAGGGATGTCGTTGGATAGAGCCACTCAAGTCTAGTCAGAGCAGCAGCCTCGTGGCAGACTGGGCAGGGTTGAGCCGCAGGTAACCCTGCAGTATTTGTGGTTTCCTGTGTCAGAAGTGGAAGTTACAGGGGGAAGGCAGCACCACAGGTTGTAGGCTTTCTGGGTGAACGAACCCATCTATCCCCCAGGACAGGAGGGAGGAGCTGCAAGCTTTGCCTGTGTCTGGAGGTGTTAGTTCCTGATACAGCCTGAGGTCTGGCCTTGCCTACTGTGAGGCCTGCAACTTTCGGCAAGAAGCTTCTCTGATTCTTGTCTGTCAAAAAGACAGACTCTTGCACCAGTTGCAGCCAGCATGTGGCCAGGGGTTCATAGAGGTGTGGGGGGCTCTATCCTAATGGCAGCCGTAAGGAAAGTGGTATTACATCCGTTTTTCAGAACAGAAACTAAAGTAGCTCAGTGTTTGCCTTGTGCCATGATGACAAGGAGGGGCCTCTGCCTCTGAGGATTGTGCACATTGTTTTATATTTGGAAAACGTTCTTACTGTTCGGATTGTTCTCACTTTGGCCAGATGGAGCCCAGGTAACTTTTCAGTTGTTGGACATATTCCTGTTGAAGGTACAAAGTTTTATTCAGTGTGCACTGAAAATTAATTATTATACGTATATAAGGCTTTTTTGGGTGTTAAAGGAATGGCTGGGCCTCCCTATTTTAACAGTGTGTAGATGGTTCGATAGTAAATGTGAAATGCGTTTGTTTTTTAATGATAGTGGTTTTATTTTACCTAGAAGTCTCTAAGTTGGAGATTTTAAACTTCGAATTCTTGAAGTTTCCGTTCTCTAGCATAAGGACAAAAAGGCATAATAAAGTGTCCTAGCTGGTAGATAACAATACCAAACTCGTTTTTTATTTTTTTAAGATTTTTATTTGTTTATTTGACAGAGTGAGTCAGCACAGGTAGGGAGAGGGAGAAGCAGACTCCCACTGAGCAGAGCCTGATGGAGGGCTCAATCCCAGGACCCTGGGATCACGACCTGAGCAGAAGCAGACACTTAACTGACTGAGCCAGTCAGGCGCCCCGCCCCAAACTCGTTTTTATTTGCCTGTTGGGTAGCTTTTGTATTAATATTTAAACATCCTTGTTCTCTTTTAAGCAACGTATAATTCACAGACCACGTTACATAGTTCCAGATGTACAGCATAGCAATTTGATATTCCTATATACTGTGAAATGAACACAGTAAGTCCAGTTAACCCCGTCCTAAAGGCTTTAAAAAAGATACACTCCGGGATGCCTAGGTGGCTCAGTCAGTTAAGCGTTTCCCTTTGGCTCAGGTCATGATCCCAGGGTCCTGGAATCGCACCCTACCTGCTTTGGGAAGCCTGTTTCTCCCTCTGCCTGCCGTTCTCCTTGCTTCTGTGCGTGTGCGTGCTGTCAAATAAGTAAAATCTCTTTTTAAAAGGAGATACATTCTTAGCAACATTGTAATATACAGTAAGTATAACTGGAAGTTTGACCACCCATTTCCCCTGTGCCTCTGGCAACCACCATAATGTATCTGTTCTCTGTATCTATGAACTTGAGGTGTTTTTTGGTGATGGTGGTGGTTTTGTTTAGATTCCACGTATAAGTGAGACTATGGGATTTGATTCTGAGTTAGTCCACTTGGCATAATGCCCTCAAGGTCCATCTGCGTTGTTGGAGGTGGCGAGATTTCGTTCTTTTATGGCTTAGTAATACCCCAGTGTGTGTGTATATACTACCTCTGTTACCCATTCAACTGTCAGTAGATGCTTAATGTTTCCGTGTCTTGGCCACTGGAAATAATGCAGTGAACATGGGGGAGCTTCTGTCTTCCAGTTAGCACTTTAATTTTCTTTGGATAAATACCCAGAAGTGAGATTGCTGCATCATAACTTTGAGGAACCTCCATACTGTTTTCCATAGTGACTGTGCCACTTTGCATTTCCACCAACAATGCACAGGGGTTCCTTTTCTCCACATCCTCACCAGCACTGTTTGTTGGGTTTTAGATCTAGCCAATCTGACACGTGTGAGGTGAACTCCCTGTGATTTTGATTTGCATTTCCCTGATGAGTGATGACGAGCACCTGTTCATGTACCTGTTGGCCATCTGTGTCTTAGGGAAAACATCTATTCAGATTCTCTGCCCATTTTTAAATTACATTGGAATTTTTGCTATTGAGTTGGAGTTGCTTGTGTATTTTTGGTGTTAACCTCATGTCAGAAACGTGATTTGCAAGCATTTTCTGTTTTTCAAGATGGCTTTGGGGTCTTTTGTGGTTCCGTACAAATCTTAGAGTTGATTCTTTGTTCTACTTATATGGAAAACGCCTTTGGTGGGGCGCCTGGTGGCTCAGTTGGTTAAGCCTCTCTCTGCCTTCAGCTCAGGTCATGATCCCATAGTCCCAGGATAGAGAGCCCCACTTGTGCTCACACCACGCTCGTGCTCTCAGATGTTTAAAAAAAGAAAACACCTTTGGAATTCTGATAGGGATTCCATTAAATTTGTCTATTGCTTGGGGTAATGTGGGTATTTTAACAATGTTTTTCCAAATACGAGCATGGAATATCTTTTCATTTTGTGTCTTCAGTCTTTTTCTCATCAATATCTATAGTTTTTAGTGTACAGGTTTTTTATCTCTTTGGTTAAATCTATTTTTGGGTATTTTATGTTTGTTGATGTTTTGTAAATAGGAAGACACCATGTTTTCTGTTCGGCATTCATCAATGCAAAAAACAAAGCCATGTTATGACTTGAGGTATTGGGAAAGGTAAGAGTGTATTTTTCCATTTTGATCCTGACTCTTTCCCATCGGCTGTGCTAGGAAAACTGTCACTTTACACAAAGTCATGGAGCTTTCCCTGGGAGCAAGGAGTCATGATGCCAAGAATATTGGAAGTGCCCAGTAATTTGGAGCTTGCTTGAATTGTTTTGCTGTAATTAAAGATAATGGCCACTTCGGGCGCCTGGGTGGCTCAGATGGTTAAGCATCTGCCTTCGGCTCAGGTCATGATCCCAGGGTCCTGGGATTGAGTCCCGCATTGGGCTCCCTGCTCAGCGGGGAGCCTGCTTCTCCCTCTGCCTCTCTCTCTCTGTCTCTCATGAATAAATAAATAAAATCTTAAAAAAAAAAATAATGGCTACTTCATAACAAGTGAAACATCCTCTTTAAGGGGGGGTGGGGATAGTTGGGTTTTACCCCAGTGACACTGTGTTGATTAGCTGTGAGCCTTTGTGGTAATCACAGTGAGCGTGAGCCTTCGGGCCAGGGTTTGCCCCCAGGATCACAAAGGCAGTCCAGGATGGAGTTGTCCGGAGCTGTGGGCCCGGTGCAAGACCTCCTGTGCCTGGGGCTGCTGGGAAAAAGTCAGAAGCTGACATCTGCTGAGTTCTCTCTTGCCATGCATTGTTAGCACATCCACACCATAATTTTTTTTAGTGAAAACCACAGAATGATAAAGTGAATGACGATACTCAACTTAAACATGTGCCTGGCCGGGCGCCTGGGTGACTCAGTTGGTTAAGCGACTGCCTTCGGCTCAGGTCATGATCCTGGAGTCCCTGGATTGAGTCCCGCATCGGGCTTCCTGCTTGGCGGGGAGTCTGCTTCGTCCTCTGACCCTATCCCCTCTCATGTGTTCTCTCTCTCTCAAATAAAATCTTTTAAAAAAAAAAACATGTGCCTGGCCTGTGACTTTTCTCAGGTCTGGAAGCTAGGTACTGCTAGTCCAGTGTTATCCCTGAGGAAGGTGGTTTAGCCTCAGATTTGACTAGTAGGGCTTTCCCAACTCTAGCAGGTTAGCTCTTGAAGCTCTGTGCTTCATTGTGGGAGTTTAGCAACAGCTGCACAGAGTCTGTTGCAGGGAAGTGTTAAGTCCTTTTCTGGGGATTGTCTCATTACTCTCCTGACATCTCCAAGGAAAGTTCTACTTCTTTCGGATGAGAACAGAGGTGTGTATGGTCACTTGCCCTCCTTGGTAAGTGTGGCCATAGTGACCTGCCTTAGGGTTGTGGGGGGATTGCAGGAGTCACAGTGGCCATACATTGGTTCCATGATAATGGAGCTCCCTAAGAAGTGGGGGATTCGAACCCAAGAAGTCTGAAGTGAGCCAGACACCTCAGTCTGTACTTCTTCCCCTCCTACCAGGTAATGCACTGCTGCGGCGACTGGTGCGCATTGGAGTGCTGGATGAGGGCAAGATGAAGCTGGATTACATCCTGGGCCTGAAGATCGAGGATTTCTTGGAGAGGCGCCTGCAGACCCAGGTCTTCAAGCTGGGCTTGGCCAAGTCCATCCACCACGCCCGCGTGCTGATCCGCCAGCGCCATATCAGGTAACGCCTCTAATGGGCTCCCTGAGTCTGTCTTCTGTCCCATCCCCCATGCTAAGTTCACTGTCCTTACCTCCTGTGCAGCCCTCGGAGGTGACAGGTGTGAACACACCTTGAGGGTACAGATTGACCCCTGAAAACAGCTCATGGGGTGCTGGGGACAGCCTCATCCCCCGCCCCGTAGCCCAGCGCAAGGGTCACTGCGGCCTGAGCCGTACACCTTGCGAAGGCTTCTTCAGGCGTGCAGGCAACCAGACAGGTAACCACTCGGTGTGCCCAGTTGAGAGAGAAGTCGTCGGGCCTCAGCTGATGTGGGTGGGTTCGTGGATTCAGCTGCCTCCTGTCTTCGCACACTGTCGTCGTTAACTTGGCGAGTGGACCACAGCCCGTGGTCTGATACTCGAGTGCCGGGACTACCGGATTCCACCTGGCTGGGGAGGGCAGATGGGTCTTCCATCTGGGTGCTCCGTTTGCCCTTTTCCAGATTTTGTAGAACAGAGTCTCAGCTGCCTCAAGGACAGGGAGGCTGCTCCTTAGTAAAACCCCGTATCTGGTACTTGGAGACTCAGACCCAGGAATTACTGGCTGCCACCAGCTCGCCCTCCTTTTTGTGGTCTGGTGTGAGTTGGGTGATGCTCAAGAGCTCTCCAGAACACATGGGTGCTGGAGGGTCAGGAACACCCTTCCGGTTTGTGTCACTGCAGCACCAACCTACCAAGTCCAAGCAGAGAGCAGTGTCTCCTCCCGCTGGGGCCCTATTCCCCCGTCCCCTCACCTGCCGTCCCCTCTCCAGGGTCCGAAAGCAGGTGGTGAACATCCCGTCCTTCATTGTCCGTCTGGATTCCCAGAAGCACATTGACTTCTCCCTGCGTTCTCCATATGGGGGCGGCCGTCCAGGCCGTGTGAAGAGGAAGAATGCCAAGAAGGGCCAGGGTGGGGCTGGAGCCGGCGATGACGAAGAGGAGGATTGAGCCCACCCTTCCATCTCCTTGGGGCGTGAATTGTCTAGTTTCCCAGTCAGATAATAAAACAAAACCCTTTGGAACTGGTGTTTATTGGTGTGTATGTCTCCCTCCCCGCTCTGAACAGCCTCTGGTGGGAAGAGGCACAGGCTGGATCCTTGACCAGGTTCCGTCCAGCTAGTTCACACCTCTGAGCCTTGCCTGCTTAGAGGGGCCTGGGGAGCCTCCCAGCTGGTGTCCTTGCTGCCTGGGGCAGGGGTGCAGTCGTGAGCAGCACAAACATACACCAGTTACTTCAGCGGGGACACCAGTGTTAGGGGAAATGCTCAAGCCAGCTATTGGCATGGGGGTGGGGAGATTCCTTTCCAGGCAGAGGAAGTAGCAAGTGGAGGGTCAGCCAAGTGTCTCTAGCCCTTTGAACCTTGACCCTGGCAAAAAGAAGTCAGGGTTAAGGTTGGCAGGAGCTAAATGCTGAACCTTGGGTTGGAGGTAAGGATGAACTAGTTGAATTGGGGTTTGTTGGGGAGCACTGAACAAGCTGGTTTAAAGCTTATTGGTGTGGTTGGGAAGGGAGAGCTGAGGCACCCTGCTCCCCTCCCCCTGCTTCTGGAGTTTGTGAACACAAGGTCAGGAGGGAGAGCAGCTTCCCTTTTCTATGCCTTGTTGAGAGCTGTACCCGGCAGAGAAGGGGCTTGGTCTCCGGGAAACCGGAAGCCCTTGGCATTGAGCAACCCCTCATGGGCTGCAGCATTGCTCACGAGTCATCTGAGGCCTTGGGCTTTGAGGTCAGTTGAAAGTGCCCAGCTTCAGTGTGATGGCCCTGGGTCCTGCAAAGCCTTCAGAAGGTCCCTAGTTCTTGCAGCTTAGTGCTAGGTTCCCCCCGACACCACAAGGTTGCCACTTGGTGATTAAAGGTCTTGGCGTTTCTCGGGGATCCTTCTAGGCACAGTGAGATCAGCTGTGCCATGATGGGAATTCAGGAAGCAATCAACTTCCACGAGGTCCCAGGAGTTGATGGTGGTCTGTCCTGCCTCCAGGCTCTTCAGGTAGCACGCACTGTGGGCAGCTCCTGTGCCTTCCAGGATCCGTGCAGGGAGCCTTCCAGACCCCTGGAGTGGCCGTATGGGTCTTTCCCGGGCTAGCGGATGGCCAGAGAAGCATACACGTTGGGCTCGTCTGGGGGTTCCCCTGGTTGGGGGGAAGGGGGTGTACTTGTCTCCTGTGTGAGGGTCAAGTAGTCCAGCTGGGCGTAGGTCACATCTTGAGGGTCTTCAGATACTGCAGCCTGGAACTGGGGGGGGGGGGAGGCATGTGGCTGGGGAGGGGAGGATGCACTCCCTGGGGGTCTAGGGACCTTGCTAGACAGGAGTGGCCTTGAGCCCACTCTTGCCCTCCTTCAGTGTATCTGGGGAGGAGGGGTGTGAATTGGAAATGCCTGTGGTGTAGACACAGGGAGTGGGCACGTGGGTAGTTGGCTGTGGGAATCATGCTGGGCGAGGTCAAGGCTGGAGGCAGGAATTGAGGTGGGCTATCAATGTGGAGGGACAGGCAGACCCAGCGCCCCCTGGCTCAGCTCCTTGGCCAGGGTGAACTGTGTGAACCTGCCGCAGGTTGTTGGGGAAAGAACAGAAAGCAGAAGGCTGAGCAAGGCTGTGGGACCACTTTGTGTGGAGTTGAGGCGCCTTCTCTGGGCCTCCACAGGCCCAGGGGGTGGTTCAGCCCTAACCTCCAGCTCCGCCCACTCGAGTGTCCCAGCAGCTGGAGATCAGAAGAGGCCCAGGGGAGTGGGGTCGCAGCAGCGCAGAGAGTGGTGGGCTTCCTAAAGGGAGAGGCCTGCTGCTGGGCGGAGAGTCCACTGTGTTTACCACGTGAGCAGGGAGGCAGGGGATGCCCTGGTCAGGGGCACAGGGAGCTCACCTGGCTGTCCAGCTGTGTGTCCTCCTCAGGCTGTGTGTCTTTCATGACCTCATCTGGTGGGGACAGAACAATGTGGCCCCCCCTCTTGCCAAGATCCCCAGAGAGGGTCAGTGATGTTAAAAAGCCGCACGGAGTCCGATGCTGTCCCCCGCCTCCACTGCCCACCCGCATGTCTGGGCCCGCCTCCTCCCTCCCCCAGGGCGGCCACACGCTTCCCCTTACACAAGGACTCCTCCTGGGCAGTGGCAGCCGGACCAGACCTGGGGAGGTGAGGGGGGGGTTAGCGGCAGTGAGGGGCCGCTGGCTGGCAGGAGTCGGGGTCTCGGGATGGTCTTACCTCCCGTGCAGGCCTCTGTCCTCAGACACCTTCGCTGACGCTGCTGCAGGAAGTTGGAAATCAGCCTCAGGCTGCCCGCCCCCCCCCCACCCCTGAACCCCCCAGGGCCTGCCTTAAGCTGAGGCTCTGTATGATCCCCGCCCATCCCCACATACAAGTCAAGAGAAAGCAGTTCTAACAACGAAAAACAAAGCTTGTATGTGTTTTCCAACATTCCGTAAGTTCGAAAAGCCGAAAGGATAAAATATTTACACGTATGCTCACGTGTACCCTTCTTCCTAGGGTTTCTCACTGGGAGATGCTAGAGTCTTTCTACACGGCCTTTCCCACCTCTCCGGCTTCCCTCTCTGGCCGCTGCCCTGAGCCCGCCCTCGGTCGGCCCACAGGACAGCCACCACCCCCTGGGGCCCGTCACCCCCTCCCCGTCTCACCTGGCTTCCTGCCTTCGCTCCGACGCCGGTGTCGGACCAGGAGGAGGACGAGGAGGCTGAGCAGCAGGACGAAGGCCACTGAGACCCCGATGAGGACGTACAGGTACCAGTGGGGACCTTGGGCAGGAGCCACACCATGAACGAGCCAGTGATGCCATTTAACTGAGCACCTACTGGGTGCCAGGCACCTGCTGGGCTCTGTGCATTCACCTCTGACCCTGTCAACGATCACGCAGCAGGGGACTGCCGCCCCTCCCGCCCACTCCACAGACAGGAAACTGAGGCACAGAGAGGTCATTCACATGTCTCAGGTCGCCCAGCGTGGGGGCGGCAGGGCTGGGGTTGGGACCAGGGCTGTGGGTTCCCTTGTAGGATTTGGGGTTTTTTCATGCTGCCCCCTTACCCTCCAGGCAGAACACCTGAGTGGAGACCTGTCCACCAAACCCAAGCCCAGACCCGTCTTCCCAACTGCACAGGCCTGACCCCCCACAGGGGCCTGTGTGGACCTGGAGTGTGTGTATGCGTGAGGGCAGGCGGGAGGGCTCTGCCTCTCCAGAGATCCAAGAAGGGCCATGCTGAGGCTTTCACCGAAATCTCACAGCAGCCCTGAGGAAGGTGGCGGGAGGCCTGTTGTGCAGACAGTGAGCCTGGGCCACTGAGAGGGACATGACTCGTCCAAGAGCCCACAGCCGGGAAGTAGCAGAGCTGGGGTCTGATCGTGGGGGTGTGACTTCCAAGCCTTGTTCTTGCCCTGACTCCCCAGCTGCTCTCAGGCTGGGCCCCCTTATCTTCTGTGAAGGTGAACTCAGACACCTCCTGTGTGTGTCTACTCCCCGGCCCCGCCCTGCACAGGGATGGGGCCACCTTCCTGCCCTTTGCAATCAGATTTGCAATCGGAGGAATTGTCCCAGTGAGAAGGAACTTTTCTCGGGCCGTAATCTCAGGAAGTGGCTGAGGCAAGCCTAGGCTGAGCTCCTCCCACCCACCACCTCCCGACAGAGACCCCACTTACCCCTCTGTGGGATGAGGGGTGCATCCTCAGAGCCTCCTGGGACCACCACAGGGAGGTGGGGGGCAGGTGAGGGGCAGGGGCTACGTGTTCCCCACTTCAGGGTGCTCCTCCCCCACCTGGGCGCCACCCTCTCCCTCTGCCATGACCACCCCACCTGCCACCTGGCCCAGGCTCAGAGCCCCCGGGGGCCCCGTGGTTACCCCAGACACAAGCCATGCCACAGAGGGTGGCCTTCTGTGACCCCCTCACTCCCATCCCCGGAGGACAGGTCCCTGAGCTGACCATGAGGACAAAAAGGGGACAGGGCTCCTCACCTGAGACCAGGAGCTCCAGGGGGTCACTGGGCTGGGACAACAGGTAGGGGGAGGTGCTGGATGAGCCGTAGCACCTGTAGGTACCCCCGTGGGCTGAGGTCACAGGACTCAGGGTGAACTTGACCTGGTAAGGTTTCGCTGTGTCCTGCAGACGAAGGACCTGGGGAGGAGCCAGGGACCCCTCCTTGGACAGGTGGAAGGTATCCAACCAGATCTCAGAGCGACACTGCAGAGTCACGTTCTCACCCCAGGACACTGAAGGCCCCGGCTTGGCTGAGAGGGACGGTTTCTCATACATTCCTGGGGGAGTGAAGGTGGTGACGTGTAGAGAGCCACCCCTCCCCACACGCCCCTTGACCCTGGGCTGGGGGACCACCATCCTCTCTCCAGAGACTCTGTGTGGGACCCCCTCTCAGCACCTCTTGTCTCTCTGAGTGGGTGTCCTTTATCTCCATGGCCCTCACTGTCCCTTTCTCAGTCCCTGTCTCTAGACCATGTCTCCATATCAACCTGTGCCCGTGACCCTTTCCCTGGACCCCATCACCCAGGGGCAACCGTGGTCCCAGGCCCTGAGTCGGGACATGGGGCAGGGGGCTCCTCACCTGTGATCAGGACATCCAGAGGGGCACTGGGTGCCGACCACGTGGAGGAGAGCTTGTGTCCACAGTAACAACTGTATCGGCCCCCCCCGTGCGTGGAGCTCACAGGGCCCAGGGTGAAGTTGGGGCTGGGTTGCCCATCTAGACGCTGGGGAGCTCTGAGCTCCTCATCCTTGGTCAGAGCGAATCTGTCAAAGCCAGTCTCTGAGCGACACTGGAGGGTCAGGCTGTCTCCAGACTGCAGCAGGGATCCCGGCTGGGCTGAGAGGGAGGGCTCTCTGTAGACACCTGGACAGAAGGGGACAGTGGCACTGAGGGGACTCACACCCCACATTGGCCCAGGGCCTGCAGTGAGGCTCTTAGGTGTCCCTCCCAAGGCCTCCCACCTGTGGGTCTGGCCCCAGGACGACCTTGTCACCCACCCCCCATCAACCCCAGGGCTCCACGGGGCATATGGCTTAGGTCAGTCATCTGGGCCCAGGAGGTAGATGGGGTGAAGCAGGGGCCCACTCACCTGTGACCTGAAGGTGCAGAGGGTCACTGGGCCGTGACCACAAATATGGGTACGATTTGTAAGAAGTGTAGCATCTGTAGATCCCCCCATGGGAGGTGTTCACAGGGCCCACAAGGAAGACTGCCTGGTACGTCTCACGACGGAACGTCAATTCCAGGTATTGGGTCACATCAGCTCCCCGCTCCTTCAGCAGGTGGAATGACCCCGATGGCCACAGTGAGCTACAGGAGAGGGACACATTCCCTCCCGAGGCCACCACAAGGGCTGGGTTGGCTGAGAGGGAGGGTGCATTATACATTCCTGAGGGAGAAGGAAAGAGCTGTGTTATAGGGACCATCACCCCATGGACCCCCTGTCCTGTGGACTGTGAGCGAGGGGTCCCCCTGAGGTCACACTCTGTTCCCTTCTGTCTGGAGGAGACCCCCAGGGGGAGGGGACCAGCTCCTGCTCTCACCTGTCACCACCAGGGCCAGGAGGTCACTCTGCTGTGACCAGCTCTTCCCTCTCTGATATGCACACTGGTATCGCCCTGAACTGTGTGAGCTCATGGATGCAAAGGAGAAACTGACCCTATCGCTGGAATCCTCTGAGGTCTTCATGGACAAGGATTCATAGACTCTCTCTTTATACAGATAGTAGACATCAGCCCGCAGAGACGCCTGACACCAGATGGTCACAGGGCTCCCCTTGGCGACCATGGGGCCAGGATCAGCCCAGATGGAGGGTTTGGGGAGGGTCCCTGGAAAGGAATCAGATGGAGAGTTGCAAGGGTGCCCTTCTCTCCTCATTTTCCCACCTGTCACCCCAAGGCCCTTCCCACACCGGTCACCATCAGCCCTGACCCTCTGTGACCCCCAAATGCCCAGGGGGTTGTTGGGCGGAAACAGGAGGTCTGGGGCGGACTTACCTGCCCGTGCCTGGTCCCATAGGCCCCGACACAGCCCTGGAAGAGAGTTCCTGTGAGTGCGTCCCCCACCCACACGTAGCTGCTCCAGGCCTGGTTTGGGCCCCTGGGCAGCGGGGTCACATCTGGGGCTGAGCACACTCCTTTCCCCAGAAGTTCTGCCCCCACTGATCCTCCACAGTCCTGAGATCTCCCAGGGACCAGGACCTGGGGGCTGGGGGGAAGGACAACCCCATCCCTCCTCGTTTCCAGAAAGCTCACCAAGGTAGAGAAGGGCAGTGAGGGTCAGGGTCCCAGCGCTGCCTCCCATGGTCCCCAGCCGTGCAGACAGCTTATAAAGTCCTCAGAGTGTGCTGGACGGACAGATGCACAGGGTGTGACCCAGCCCAGGCCCCGTGTTGCTGGTCACGGGTCCCAGATGGATGGCCTCACAGGAAGGGGGACAGCCCCTCCAGGGCCTCGCTCTGCTCTCCCTGAAGGGTGGCCTGAGAGCAGCAGGTCCTGGGACTGTTCAAAGCAGATGTGAGTCTCCCCAGACCACACTCACTCTGCCTCCTCCCCACCAAGCCCAAGTCCAGAGAACAGCACTGGTCCCCACACATGAAGCTTGGGGAGGTAGGGCAGGGTCTGGGAGCCAGCCCACTTCCAGTTCCACTTCTGCCCCTTACTCACACAGAGGCTGTGTGACCTGGGCTGTGACACTTCCCTTTCCTGAGCTTCTGTAAATGCAAATTTTCATCCTTCCACCACACTGACAGTCAACCAGTGACCACATCCAGTCATGGCGCCAGGCACTGGAGATTCATTGGTGAGGGAGCAGACTTGTTCCTTCCCTGGATGCACGGGGCTGTGATTAGTGATAACAGACAATATAAATATTTAGGTGGGAAACAATTCTATTATAGCCTTATAAGATTCTTCCAAGTTGGAAGAAAAAAGAAAACGGAATCATGAGAATCATAATGTGTAGACATCATACAGTCTGGGTCCTGGTTGTGAGGGGTCCTTCTGGGGGATGGAGTGATGGAAGGCAGGAGCTGGGTTTTAGCACAGAGATGGGAGTGGGGGGCATCCTCAACCAGAAAGATTTGAGCTGTTCTCAGAACTGAGAGCAATCAGGAAGCCAGGGCCTTGTCACACAGGATTTTGAGCATCATGCAAGCATTTGGGATTTCTACTTTAAGGCAATGGGAAGATTTTAACCAGCAGACAGTCGAACAAATTTCTGTCTGGAAAAGACTAACGCTGTAGGAAATACAATTAGTGGTCAAACCCCAGCATTCGTCTGGTCCCCGGGTGGTGTGTTGATCAGTAATTAAGCTGTGTATGTAGTTTTCTCACTTAAGTCTTACCCAAACCTATCACACAAAACACATGTACAGTTGAGCAGAATGAGCCAGGATGGTAGGTTGAAGAGGAGTTGGCCAGGTTCAGATTGGCTGAGGGGGCAGCCCGAGAGAAGGCATGGAATTGTTAATAGCTCAGTTTGCGTTGCTTGGGGAGGTGTTTGGGTTGGAGTGTGAGTTGTGTTTGCTGGCGCTGGTGGGTTTAGTTCTAGTCTGATGGTCATAGCCTTGAAGATGAGATGGTACAACTTAGATCTTTCTGCAGCAGAGTGCGGGCGGGTTTTGAGTCTCCCACAGGATCAGACCAGCCTGGTGATTAAAAGGATCCTCTGGAGGTGGTGGGAGGAATGAACTGGGGAGAGGAGAGGCCTAGTTGAGGAGCAGTGGGGAGGCTGACGGGCTGATGCACACAGGCTTCTTGAGTTCTTGTGATGGGTTGGACGTTGTTAAGAGGGTCTCAGGGGCCTGGTGGTGTGTATCCGGTGAGTGGACATGAGCGCCAGAGCACGAGGCTATTCCACCCCCTGTCTGGTGCCTGGAGGAGCCAGTGGGGCCACCCCAGGAGGATGACCCAGGGAGAGGCAGACATTGGGAGGTGCTATGAAGACAGATTGTCATTTCTCAGAAGGAAGCACAGCCCTTCCTCCTGCCCTGGGACTAGATTTTCTTTGCCCCCCACACTTCCCTTCACTGACTTCCTTGTTTCTGTAAGTCAACACCATCTTTCTCTTCATCACTCCTTCTAAACCTCCAATTCATTTCTGCCTCCTCAGGGCTCCGTCCTCCCCTGGGCAGAGCTCTCCATCCCGTACTGTGAATTCCTTCTCCAGGCATGGGATTAAGGGCATGGGTTGGAGGCAATTCAGAGATCGAATTGAAGTTAGAGCTGAAACACTGTCATTCTTTAGCAGATACTTCCCCTTTCTGAGTCTCCCGTTCCTCATAGTGACGACATAGTGGCCTCTCCCCTCAGGATTGTGTGGCTCCATCTGGGGTGGTTTCATGTATGGCTTGTAGACCCTGAGATGCCTGCAGTGTCAGAGCTCATATCACAGGGTCATTGAAGGCCACAGCCAACATCCACTCCCAGCACACAGAAATGCCAGATAAAGGTTTATAAGATCCATAGCCACAGTTAAATTAGAGTAACTAAAGTGCCAGAAATGCAGAGTGACTCCCTAGACATAAGCAGAGACCAACGCTGAGTGGGCTTGGTCATGGGTCCCAGAGATGGGCCCCAGGACCTGGTTTGCTGTGTATGTATGGAGACAGGTGGCAAAGCCCCAGAGGAGACACAGGGTTCCAGGTGTGAGGTTGGGAGCTCCGAGCCTGCTGCCTGTCTGAATAAGGACTGCAATACCTCCACTCCCCGATCTGAGGTCACACCCAGAATTCAGCTCCTTTCTCCAGGTGTGAGCGAAAAATATTCAGTGCAATATGGGCAGGTATCAGTGTAGTGTGGAGCTCAATTTTGAATGCTCCATGCATTGCCGGCACCCTGAGTTTGGAACACCTACACATCGTGAGTCTGAAGCACTTGCAAGCTAGTCACTTGTTTAGGACTTCACAATGCAGGAGAATGGGGGTGATAACTTCTGTGAAGGGTTAGCTCAGTGGCAAAATGACCAAGTGTATGAGATCAACTATGCCATGAAAAATAGAGTACAGACCCAGTTACTGTGGGAATTCCCAACAAAGGCAAGGGAGATAGATTGAAAATTGGGAAGAGATTTAAAAATAAGTATGCTTTAAATCTTCAAACAGAAGAAGATGTGACATTCACGATACAAGAAGAGTTTAGTGGAAAAAAGGGTGCTAAGGAAATTTCATAGATAAAAACTCATTAATTGAATAAAAGGATTCAAAAGATCTATTCCATAATAGACATTAGATAACTGATCAGAAAACTGGGGACTTGGAAAATGAAACTCAGGAAGTATCCGAGAATGCAGCTGAACATCATAAAAATAGAAACCACAAAGATAAAATCTGACACATGGAGAATAGAATAAGTCCCAAGACACATCTGTCCTTCATTTTAGTGGAAGAAATGAGAGAATGATCAAATGACAGTAATTAGGTATTGTTGTTAAGGGTTTTTTGGAAGTGAAACCAGAGAAATGGCCAACATGGGCTATGAAAGCTGAACTGTTACTGGGAGCTACATCCTCGAAAGTAGGTCAAAATGTCAGCTAGTGGGACTCCTGGGTGGCTCAGTGGGTTAAGCGTCTGGCTTCGGCTCAGATCATGATCCCAGGGTCCTGGGATTGAGCCCTGTATTGGGCTCCCTGCTCAGCAGTGAGCCTGCTTCTCCCTCTGCCTCTCCCCCTGCTTGTGCTCTCTCTCTGTCTATCCCTGACAAATAAATAAAATCTTAAAAAAAAAAGTTAGTACCTACCCAGGTTGACAACCTGCTCAGACAAACAAAAATCCACATTCCCCAGAAGATTTTATCAGAACCCAGTGTCTTCCAATGTAATATTCAAAGAAACAGGAAAGTCTCAGTAACACTCAAAGGAAAAAATAATCAACAGACACCAACCCTGAGTTGACCAACAGTTTAAAGCCATTTTTTAAAAGATTTATTTATTTATTTTGGGGGGGAGGGGCAAAAGGAGAGAGAGAGAGATCTCAAGCAGACTCCCTGCTGAGCTTGGAGCCGAATGTGCAGCTCCATCTCATGACCCTGAGATCATGACCTGAACCAAAATCAAGAGTCAGATGCCTAACTGGGCCACCCAGGTGCCCCTAAAGCCATTTTTATAATCAAGCTTCATGAAATAAGGACAAACACTCTTGAAATAAGTGGAAAAAATAGACTTCTCTCAGCAAAGAAATTATAAGAGGGGGAAAAAAGGAAATTTTAGAATGGAAAAATTCAGTAACTGAAATTAAAAATTCCTGTGTGTAATGACAGAATGAAGATGACAGAGGCAAGAGTCAGTGAACTTGAAAACAGAACAAGGGAAATTACAATCTGAGCAGTAGAGAAAAAAGATTTTTAAAAATGAACACAGGGGCGCCTGGGTGGCTCAGATGGTTAAGTGTCTGCCTTCGGCTCAGGTCCTGGTCCTGGGGTCCTGGGATGGAGCCCCACATCGGGCTCCTAGCTCAGTGGGAAGCCTGCTTCTCCCTCTCCCTCTGCCTCTCCCCCTGCTCATGCTCTCTCTCTCTCTCTCTATCTCTGTGTCTCAAATGAATAAATAAAATCTTAAAAAATAAATAAATAAAAATGAACACAGATTGAGGGATTTGTGAGACAATTTATGTAATTGATCTGCCAGCAAAAGGAGAATGCTATCAGTGAAGAAAAAAAGTTTGAAGAAATAAATGTCCATTTTACAGATTTGTTGAAAGTCATACATTTACATGTCCAAGATGCTTAGCAAATGAAAAATAGGATAAGCTTTAAAAACCATGCCTACCTACATCATAATTAAACTAGTCAAAACCAAAAAAGAAAAAAAATAGAGAAAATGCCACATTATGTAAAGAGGGAAAACAATTTGAATGATTACAGATTTCACATCAGAAATCATCCTAGTGGGGCATCTGGGTGGCTCGATAGGTTAAGCGTCTGCCTTCAGTTAGGTCATGATCCCAGGGTCCTTGGATCGAGCCCCACGTCGGGCTTCCTGCTCAGCAGGGAGCCTGCTTCTCCCTCTCCTTCTGCCTGCTGATCCCCCTGCTTGTGCTCAAATCCCCCTGTCTCTCTAATAAATTTTTTAAAATCTTGGGGAAAAAAAAAAAAAGAAAGAAATCATCCTGGTCAGAAGTTTTTTTTTTTATGTTAGTATGAGAGCCAACCTAGAATCTTTCTGGATATATTGTTCAGGAATGGAAGCAAAATAAAGTCATTCTTAGAAGAAGAAACATGGGGAGAATTTGTTGCCAGCAGCTCTGCTCTACCAGAAATGATAAGGTAAGTCTTCAGACAGAAAGGAATTAATTCTAGAGGGAAACTGGGAAGTTCAAGAAAAAGGGAAGATCAAAAAAGGTAAGTAAGTAAATGTAATAGCATACTTCTCTCCTCTTACATTCATTAAAATATGTCAGGCTGTTGAAAGCAAAACTGATAAGGTCTGGTGGGGTTTGAATATATGTAGATATAATACAGACAACACCTGCAACATAAGGGAGTGAGGGCAAAGGCCCTATACAGTTGTAAGGCTTCTATTTTTTCTGAAAGAGGTGTAATATTAACTCTATGTAGACTCTGAAATTAGGTGTGTATAATACCTACAGTAGCCATTTTAAAAACAACATACAAAGAGTTATAGTTAAAACACCAATAGATAGGGAAGTCTGGGAAATTCAGTTGGTTAAGCGTCCAACTCTTGATTTCAGCTCAGGTCATGATCTCAGGGTCATGAGGTCAGGCCCTGTGTTGGGCTCTACAGTGGGCATGGAGCCTGCCTGAGATGCTCTCTCCCTCTCCCTCGGCCCCTCTCCCCTCTCAAAAAAAAAGACACCAATAAATTAAAATGGAATACTTAAAAATATTCCAGAAAGCGAACGAAGGCAGGAGAGGGAAAACCGAAGAACAAACAATAAGTGGGGGACAAACAGAAAGCAAACAATAAGATGGTATAAACCTAAAATCAACCTTATCAGTAATTGTATTAAATGTAAATGGGGAAATCACAATTAAATGGCAGAGATCATAGGACTGGATTAACATCACCAAGACCCAACGATATGCAGTCTACAGGAGGTAAAGGATAAAAAATATATTTTGCAAACATCAATCAAAAGAAAGCTTAAGTGGCTGTGTTAATTGCCTATGGCTGCTGTAACAAATTATCGTAAACTTGGTGACTTTCAACAACAAAGATTTATTGTCTTACAGTTCTGGAGGTCACAAGTACAAAATCACTGGGCTAACGCTGAGGTGTCATCAGGGCTGCTTGCTTTTGGTAACTCTGCAGTGAGAATCTGTTCCCTTGCCTTTTCAGCTTCCAAAGGCTGCCTGCAGCATATAGCTCCTGACCCCTTCCTTCCATCACTGCAGCCTCTTGATTCCGTCCTCACATCCCCTACCATTGACTCTGACCCTTTGGTCTCCCTCTAATAAGAAGCCTGTGAATACACTGGGCTCACCCAGATAATCAGGGTAATGTTCCCATCTCAAGCTACTTAGTCACATTTACAAAGTCCCCTTGGCCTGTAAGGTAACATTCTCATAGGTTTCAGGGATTAGGGCATGGACACCTTTGGGAAGTGGGAGGAAGTTGCAGCTTTCAATCTACCACAGTGGCCATACTGTCCAAGACAGTATGGTAAAAGATACCAGATCAAGGAGGCTTTTGAATAAGAAAATTATCAGAAATTAAAAAAAAAAAAAGTCAATTCACCAAGAAAACAGTAATGCTAAATGTGTATGCACAAAACCACAGAGCTTCAAAATACACAAAGCAAAAACTGTCAGAAATGGAAGGACAAATAGGCAAATCAACAGTTACAGTCACGGACTTTGACACTCCTCTCTTGGTAATTGATAGAGCAAATAGCAAATCAGCAAGGATATAGAAAACCCTAACTACGCTATCCACCAACTCGACCTAATTGACACACACAGAGCAGCACCCAATCAACAGCAAAAAGCACAATCTCTTCAAGTGAGCGTGGAATGTCGGCCAACATAGTTCATATCCTTGGTTACAAAGCAAAGTTTAACATTCAAAGAATTAATATCCTATATCGCTTCTTTTCACACCCTAATGGAATTAAAGTTAAAATCTATTACTAGAAGGTAACCTGGAACATCTTCAGCTCTTTGGAAATTAAACAACACACTTCTAAATAATTCATGGGGCAAAGAGGAGCTCAAGGAAAATTGGAAGATATTTTGAACTGAATGAAAATGAAAACAGCATTCTAAACTTTGTGGGATGCAGCTAACATGTGCTTGGGGGAAAGTTGGAGCAGCATATTCATATTAATATGAATAACTCATATTAAAAAAATTGTTTCTAGTCACCTACACTTCCATCTTAAGACAAGAAAAAGAGCAACTCACCCCAAAGTGAGCATGATAAAGGGCAGAAAACAATGAAACCAAAAACAGAAAAACAATAACAAAAATCAATGAAACCCACTGCTGATTCTTTAATAAGACCAAAAAAATTGCCTATGCCTAGCCAGGCTAATCATGCAAAAAAGGAAGACACAACTTGCCAACATCTGGAACAAATGACAGAATATCACTACAAACCACACTGACATTAATAGGACCTAAGAGAACACTACGAACTGTGCCCCAAAATTTGGCAACTTGGATGGTCCAACTCATTTTATTTTAGTATAGTTGACACACAATATTACATTAATTTTAGGTGTATAACTTAGTGATTTGTCAAGTTTATACTTTATGCTATGCTCACCAAAAGTGTAACTATCTATCACCTGTCCCATCACATCGCTATTACAGTATCATTGACCATGTGTCCTATGCTGTGCCTTTTATTCCTGTGACTTACTCATTCCATAACTGGAATCCAGTATCTCCCATTCTACTTCACCCATTTTGCCCATCTCTGCTCCCCTCTGGCAACCATCAATTTGTTCTCTGTATTTATAGGTCTGATTCTGCTTTTCATTTGTTTGTTTGTTTTTAAATTCTGCTTATGAGTGGAATCATATGGTATTTGTCTTTCTCAGTCTGACTTATTTCACTTAGCATAATAGCCTCTAGGTCCATCCTTGAATGGACCAACTCCTGAAAGACACAAACTACCAAGACTCATTCAAGAAGAAATAACCTTAATATTCTTTAAAATATTAAATTGCATTTGTAGTTAAAACACCTTTCCAACAAAGAAAACTCCCAGCCACAATGTTCTCACTAGCACAAACCACTGAACATTTGGTAAAAAATACAATTCTACACAATCTGTTTCAGAAAGTAGAAGAGAAAAGAAAACTTTGCAAAAATTTTATGAGCAAGCATTACTCCAAATTCAAATCAGACAAAGACTAGGAAAGAAAGCTGCAGACCAATATCCTTCAAAAACATAAATGCAAAAATCCTCACCAAAATATTGGTAAATAAAAGCCAACATCCAAGTGTGAATTATCCCCAGATGACAGGTTAGTTGAACATCTGAAAATCAATAAAGGTAATCCACTGTTTTATTTTTTTTATTTTATTTTTTAAATTTTATTATGTTATGTTAGTCACCATAAAATACATCATTAGTTTTTGATGTGGTGATCCATGATCCATTGTTTTCGTATAACACCCAGTGCTCCATGCACTACGTGCCCTCCTTAATACCCATCACCAGGCTAACCAATGCCCCCCCTCTCTAAAACCCTGTTTATTTCTCAGAGTCCATAGTCTCTCATGGTTCATCTCTCCCTCCGATTTCCCCCCTCTTCATTTTTCCCTTCTTCTCCTAATGTCCTCCATGCTATTCCGTATGTTCCACAAATAAGTGAAACCATATGATAATTGACTTTCTCTGCTTGACTTATTTCACTCAGCATAATTTCCTCCAGTCCCATCCATGTTGATGTAAAAGTTGGGTATTCATCCTTTCTGATGGCTGAGTAATATTCCATTGTATATATGGACCACATCTTCTTTATCCATTCATCTGTTGAAGGGCATCTCGGCTCTTTCCACAGTTTGGCTATTGCTGACATTGCTGCTATGAACATTGGGGTGCATATGACCCTTCTTTTCACTACATCTGTGTCTTTGGGGTAAATACCCAGGAGTGCAATTGCTGGGTCATAGGGTAGCTCTATTTTTAACTTTTTGAGGCACCTCCACACTGTTTTCCAAAGTGGCTGTACCAACTTGCATTCCCACCAACAGTGTAAGAGGGTTCCCCTTTCTTCACAACCTCTCCAACATTTGTTGTTTCTTTCCCTGTCCATTTTTGCCATTCTAACTGGTGTATGGTGGTATCTCAATGTGGTTTTGATTTGTAATCCACCGTTTTAATAGACTAACAAAGAAAAAACACATCATGATATAAGTGCATGCACAAAATTTGATAAAATACTCAGCTATATGGGAATAGAAGGGAACTTCCTTAATCAGATAAAGAGCATCTATGAAAAACCTTTAGCTAATATCATACTGAACACTTTTACAGTATGAAACAAGTCAATGATACTCTCACAACTTCTATTCAGAACTGCCTAACAGTAAAGCAAATGAAAGGAATAAAAAGCATACAGATTGAAGGGGAAGAAATATCAACTGAACTTTATTCTATAAATTAATGAGGAACAATTGGAAAGCAAAATTAAAATACTATTATAATAGCTCTAAAAACTATACAAATGTAGGGATAAGTATAAGTATAGATGTATAAGATCTGAAGACTAAAAACTATAATACTTAGCTAAGAGAAATTAAAGAACTAAAAAAAGATACCACATTCATTGATTGAAAGACTCAACATTGGGAGCAGCTGGCTGGCTCAGTCGGTGGAGCGTGCAACTGTTGATCTTGGGGTTGTGAGTTCAAGCCCCATGTTGGGCATGGAGCCTACTTAAAATATAAATAAATAAACAAACAGAAAGAAAAGACTCAACATTGTCATTAGGAAGAATGAAATCTTACCATTTGCAACAACATGGATGGAGCTAGAGTTAAGCAAAATAAGTCAGTCAGAGGGGCACCTGGGTGGCTCAGTCATTAAGCGTCTGCCTTTGGCTCAAGTCATGGTCCCAGGGTCCTGGGATCAAGCCCTGCATCGGGCTCCCTGCTCCGCGGGAAGCCTGCTTCTCCCTCTCCCTCTCCCCCTGCTTGTGTTCCCTCTCGCGCTGTGTCTCTGTCAAATAAATAAACAAAATCTTTAAAAAAAAATAAGTCGGTCATAGAAAGAAAAATACCACATGATTTCACTCATATGTGGAATTTAAGAAACAAAACAAAGGAGCAAAGGAATAAAAAGAGGGAGACAAACCAACAAACAGACTCTTAACTATTGAGAACTGATAGTTACCAGAGGGGAGGTGGGTAGGGGGATGGGTTAAATAGGTGGTGGGGATTACGGACTGCACTTGTCGTGATGACCCTTGGTTGATGTATGAAAGTGTTGAATCACTATATTGTACACTAATATTACACTATATGTTAACGAACTGGAAGCAAAATAAAAACTTTAAAAAAAAAAAAAAAAGATTCAATATTGTCAAGATATCAGGTCTCTCTAAACTGGTAAGCAAGCCAAATCAAAATCCCAACTAGCTGGGGTGCCTGGCTGACTCAGAAGAGTGTGTGACTCTTGATTTCAGTATCATGAATTCCAGCCCCATGTTGGGTGTAGAAATTACTTAAATAAATAATTTTTTTTTAAGCCCAACTATCTCTTTTAGCAGTTGACAGCTGATACTAATACATATGTGGAAACATAAAAAGAACAATAATAGCACAACAGTGCTGAAAAGGAATAAAACTGGACATCTTCTTATTCCAAGACTTTCTGTGGAAGGAAGAAATGTAATGGATGGTGTGGTATTTGCATAGGGATAGGTAGGTGGAAAAAATAAACAATAGAGATGCCAGAGGTAAACCCACACATATATGATTGATTGACTTTTTTTTTTTTTAAGATTTTATTTATTTATTTGACACAGAGACACAGCGAGAAAGGGAACACAAGCAGGGGGAGTGGGAGGGAGAAGCAGGCTTCCCGCTGAGCCGGGAGCCCGATGCGATGCGGGGCTCAATCCCAGGACCCTGGGATCATGACCTGAGCCAAAGGCAGACACTTAACAACTGAACCACCCAGGTGCCCCTGACTTTTTTTTTTTGCCCCTGACTTTTAACAATGAGACAGAAGTACTTCCTTGAGGAAAAGATCATCTTTTCAACAAATGTTGCTGGAACAACTAGATATCTATTTGGAAAAAAAATGAACTTTGACCTTTACCTCACACCCTCACCATACACAGTAATTCACATGAAATGATCATAGACCTAATAGCAAAAGTCAAAACCATAAGGCATCTTAAAAAAAACAATTTAAAGATCTTCACAACTTTGGATTAGACAAAGATTTCTTAGCAAGGTACAAAAAGCACAAACAACAACAAAAAGATTTATTGAACTTCATAAAATTAAAAATTTTTCTCTTCGAAAGACAGCATTAGGTAATGGAAAAAACAAGCCAAGACTGAGAAGTGTGTGTGTGTGTGTGTGTGTGTGCGCGCGTGTGTGTGTGTCCGTCCGATAAAGGATTATTTGTAGAATAAATAAGGACTTTTACAAATAATACTAAAACCCTCCCACATGAGCAGAACAATTTGAACAGACATTTCTCAAAGAAAATATATTAATAACAATGAACACATGAAAAAATGCTCAACATCTATAACCATTAGATAAATGAAATTTAAAAAGACCAATAAAATGGATGAGTTTTCAAAAACATATTGCACAAAAGAGGGCAGATATGGCCGAGCATATACTTTATGGTTTCATTTCTGTGAAATTCTACAACGAGAAAGTCACTATCACCTAGAGAAAGAAAGCTGGTTGCTGTTTGCTTCCATCGGGTTGACTGAAAAGCTCACCATGGAATTTTTAGGAGCGACGGCGATGTTCTATGTATTGACTGTAGCGATGTTGTTAAATGAGTTGTACATTTGCCAAAGCTGATCACACTGCACACCCAAAGGGCATATATGTCGTGCCTCAGTGCACACACATATATACTAGTTAGGCTCCATCCGCATCCATTCCACTGGGGATGAAATCATCTTCAGCTACATGTCTGATTTACTCCCGTAGGAATGATACGATACTGAGGACTCGGTGTTGGTCTCCACTGCTGAAGTGATGGACATTGAGAAGAGTCTGTAGTTAGGTCACTCCCAATGAAAGGCAGTCCATGTTACACGACTCCTGAGCACCCTTCTTCTCACCATCATGGCTTCTTCCTCCATAGGCCCACTGTGTGAACACTGGGATAAGGAAGAACAGAGGCTGGCTAACATCTACCCAATGAGCCATCCAGTCCCCTTGGTCATTAAGGACTATGTCTACAGGGAACTCTCTTGCAGACATTTTTTTTAAGATTTTTATTTATTTATTTGAGAGAGAGAGAGAACAAGCAGGAGAAGCAGAAGAAGGAGAGGGAGAAGCAGGCTCCCCACCGAGCAGGAAACCCGATGCAAGACTCAATCCCAGGACCCGAGATCATGACCTAAGCTGAAGGCAGATGCCCAACCGACTGAGCCACCCAGGGGCCCATCTTGGGGACATGTCTATCTGATTCAAAGATCCAAGTGCTTTGAACTCCACTCCTATACATCCATGCCTACACATGCCTCTGTCCTGGACAACCCTGTCTCCCCCCACTTGATTCTGCTCCTTCGGGTTCCCTGATCATTTAGGCAAGGCAGAAGCTACTATGCAGGAGTTTGTGTGCATCTTCACACCTAGTTGGATCTCTTTCCACAAAAAGTGTATTATCCTGTTCATTACCAAAATATCTGCTCACTGGTATTTTTCAGAGTCCCGCTGGTATGGTGGTGGGGCAACTCTACTCCGAAACGTCACCCCGCCCAGACACGACCCAGGCCACAAAGCTGTTGATGACCACCGAAGAGACCACCTGTTGTGTTACAGGCCCGAACACGGCATTAATCTCGTTGAACATCCCATCAGAGCTCCTGGGTCACCAGGTGTATTGTCATGGGTATTGTGTTAAAAGCCCGACCACGGCATTGTGTCTGCATGGAACCCCCATCTTTGTCCTCTGAACCTACCACTTACTCAACAGTGGATTGCAAACTTATGACTGAGTGGAAAGGACCATACCCAGCTCATTGTGGATAGTTCCAGTTGCATACATGCTCATGTCTCTTGTCATTAGGTTTCTGTTGGGACCACTGGCACGTAGGCAGCTTTTTAAATGGTACCTAGTTCTCTTGTGCAGGTGATGTGATGACATGAGCCCAAAGCCCATTGAGGCTCAGCAGAGGAGTCACACAGCATCCCAGCACACATGCCTACTCCTAGCAGCATGATCTGGTAGGTCATAACCATAGTCGTAGCATCCGGATGGATAAAAAAAAGTTGTGCTTGGGGTGCCTGGATGGCTCAGTCAGTTGAGCAGCTAACTCTTGATTTCGGCTCAGGTCATGATCTCAGGGTAGTGAGATCGAGTGCCGTGTCAGGCTCTGTACTTAGTGTGGAGTCTGTTCAGGACTCTCTCTCCGTCTCCCTCTGAACTTCCCCTCGCTCTCTCTCTCTCAAAAAAAAAAAAAAAGTTATGCTTACATGATATTATAGTCTATTAAGTGTGCAATACCATTATATCTAAAAAGACAATGTGCACACCTTAATTTAAAAAATACTTTATTGCTAACAAATGCTAATCATCATCTGAGCTTTCAGCAAGTCATAATCTTTCTGCTTCTGGAGGGCCTTGCCTCCATGTTGGTGGCTGCTGAGTGGTCAGGGTGGTGGGTGCTGAAGATGGGGGCGCTGGGGCAACTGCTTAAAATAAGACAATGGTGAAGTTTGCCACATCGAATGACTCTTCCTGTCACAACTTCTCTGTGGCAGGTGATGCTGTTTGATAATGCTTACCCACAGTAGAACTGCTTTCAAAATCGGAGTCAATGCTCTCAAACCCTGCCACTGCTTTATCAAGTTTATGTGATATTCTAAGTCCTCTGTTGTCATTTCAACAATCTGCACAGCATCTTCACCAGGAGTAGATTCCAACTCAGGAAACCACTCTCTCTGCTCCTCCTTCTGAAGTAGCTCCTCCTCTGTTCAAGTTTGATCATGAGCCTGCAGCAATTCAGTCCCTTCTTCAGGCTCCACATCTCATCCAGGTTCTCTTGCTGTTTCCACCACATCTGTAGTGACTTCCTCCCCTGAAGTCCTGAACCCCTCAAAGTCATCCATGAGGGTTGGAATCCACTTCTTCCAAACGCCTGTTCATGTGGATATTTTGAGCTCTTCCCATGAATTACAAATGTTCTTTTTTTTTTTTAGTAGGCCCCACAGGCATAGAGCCGAATGCAGAGCTTGAACTCACCACCCTGAGATCGAGACCTGAGCGGAGATCAAGAGTGCTTAACCGACTGAGCCACCCAGGCGCCCCAAATCACAAGTGCCCTTAATGGCATCTAGAATGCTGAATCTCTTCCAGAAGGTTTTCAGTTGACTTTGCCCAGATCCATCAGAGGAATCACTGCCTAAGGCAGCTAGAGCCTTACAAAATG